TTATAAAAAGTTTTAGTACATGGCGTCATAGGTTTTTTTTTTGTTTACGCAAGTGATCGATTATTTAAAACATGTCTTGGAGGTTAAAGATCCCTTTAAAGTGAAAAACTTTATATTTTTAATGCCATTTTTTTTCAAAGGTAAGTTCCAGCTCTATGATTTAAAAGAAAAGTTCTGGTCTGATTAATGCTTTTTTGTAGTTAATAAATGACATCAATACAAAAAAGTTCTTTCAAACTCAAGTGATAAATGTTATGTTTAATTTTTTCCTTTGCTGTTAAATTTTATGCAAAAAAATTTTAAATTTTTGCAAAAGAATTTCATTACTTGTTTTTTAAAACTTTTATAACCAAATAAAAATAACACGATCAATATGTAATTGCTTTAAAAGCCCAACTTATATATCAGGGCCAACAATGCCCCCTCACTTTTTTTCTAAAGGACCTTTTTTTAGAAATGTAAATTTCAAAATTATACTGAAGATATGTAAATTTCAAAATTATACTGATATTTGTTAAAAACAGGTTCTGCTATTAACATCTTAAAACCAAAAATACTATTATTTTTTTTGGATTCAGTAAGAAATTAGATTTCACAGTAAATGAAAACAAATTATTCTAATGGAAATTAAAAAAAAAAAACAAAGCAGAAAAGCAGTAATCTTTGTTTAATTACAATTTTTATTTTGTCCAAAGCCAGTTGAACTAAAATGTTTTAGGTAGCGCTAACGTTTGTTTTATAAAGGGGAAAACCCAATCTAATTGTGCTTTACGTTTTAAATATTTATGTGCTTTAACGTTTTAAATAATTATGTGTTTAACGTATTAAATAATTATGATTAAATAGTCGTTTAAAAAACTCTGTGAAAAAACTCTGTGGTACATTTAAAAAATTCTGTGGTACATTTAAAAAACTCTGTGGTACATTTAAAAAACTCTGTTAATATTGTTTAATTTAAAAATATTTCATAAAGATTAAGACTTATAACAGTTTTTAACGAGGTTTTAAATTTAATTACAATGAGGTACTTCAAAATACTCAACTGACTAAATTAAACTTTTACTGATATAAATACCTTTATTGAGTAATGTTATATTTGTTCGCATTACGCTTTTCCGTTACACAACAAAATCTCATAACAAAGCCTGTATATTTAAATTAATTTTAGTATTTAACTTATAAGAAAAGCTGTTTATTTATAGCGACTTCTTTTAGAACTGTTTCATAAAAAAGAATAATATCTTTTAATAATAGTTAGGGCCGCAACCATTTAGTTTTATAAGTTTATTAAGTAACCTTGATTCGAATATATAAAGATTTTTCAAATCGAATCTCAGATCATTTTTTTGATTTAAATTTTGAAAGCTATGCAGGACCTGATAAGAAACTTTTTTATATTCTATTATAAAAAAATTTAATAAATAACTTTTCTTATTTAAAAAAAGAGTTTAATTTTTTTTATCATTTTTTTTTTTTCTTTTGGTGACGATGTTGCTAAGAATATAAAAAAGCAAACTTTCAACCAAATCAAAGATTTTAATCCATTAACCATTAATGTTATCTTAAATTTTTTTTTGCTATTACTGTTACTACTATTATTATTAATAATATTATTATTATTTTATTATCATTTTAATGATTTATTTAAAGATCTAATCAAAATAAAAATTGGTTTATTAAGTGTTTATAACAACAAGTTATTATTTTTTTAATAGATGTGATTACAATAAAAGTGTGACCAAAACAAAACAAGATAATTATATGTTACTTTAAAACTAGATAAATTGCTTAATTTATGAAATATAAAAAATATAAACGTTAAGTTGTGGTTAAAGTTTAGCAATCTTTTGTCTGTTTTTTTTTGTTGTTAAATTTTTTTTTGCAGAAACATCAAATAGTTGTAAGATTATTGAATTAATAGAAGATAAAATAATAATAATAATTAAAAAGGCAAAACAAACATTTTATTTAAATTCTAGATAAAATTAAAAAAAAAACAGAAGCAATGCAATTATTTTTTTAACTTCTTTCGTAATAACAAAATTATGCAATTAAATAATTTCAACGTAATAAAAGGCGAGCATTGACTCAGTATAATCAGTTTAGAATAAGTTGAGAAAGAAATTTTTTCACATTAAAATTTTGTTATGTTTAAAATCTCAAATAATATATTTAATAATTAAAACAGCAATTTATTTTCTTGCCTAAGTATTGGGGAATAAAGTCATCGCCTTTGCATAAACCTTCGTAAAAACTAAATTAAATGAAAAAGTTTAACCAAATTTGTCTAGCGTAAATAATGAATCAGTTTTTTAATACATTGTCTGATAAAGTTCGTGAATAAATTACGTATCAAGTCTTTATTTTCGTGAAAACTTTATGACTTATCGTCGTCTTTTCCTTGACTTGTATCAAATTTCGTAGCTGAAAATAGCAACCCTAAAAAAAAAAAAAAAACAGTATAAAAATTTTGAAAAAAATGTTCAAGACTTTTTTTTTTTTTTTTGTTACAAGAATCATTTTTTTTTTTTATTTTTTTTTTTTATTATCAAAATATTTTTCTTACATCCAATTTCAATTTTATACTTTGTTAAGATTTCGTTTCCTTTTTTTAAAATTATTTTTTATTCTCTGTGGATAATTTCCGCTTTCCCAGGAAATAATGCCGCGGTCACGTTTTCTGAAAAATTTCTTATATGCGTGGACAAACAAGGCGTGGGACCACACGCCTTTCCTGGGAAAGCCTGTATTATATTATAGTGCTTATACTATATTTTTGTATTATATTGTTTTACTATATTTGGGAGGTGAATACAGTTACAGAAAAAATATTATTGTAAATATTATTTAAAATGATTTTTCGTTGTATTATATTTGTAACATTATTCATATATTTTTTATATTGTATTGTTGTATTAACTTCAGGCCTTGTTTTATAGCGATTTTTATCGCGATATTTCTTATCTTTTCATTACGATTATATTCAACGTAATTTTACGCTAACATTTTTATCTAAATATTTAGCAACATAAAAAAAGTTCGTCAATCCTTAACTACAAATTGTTTGCAGATGTTTTTAATAAAATTTTGCAGAAGTTTTTAATAAAATTTAGTAAAAAACTCTATAAAAATCTATTACAAAAAACATTTATATTCCGTAATCTCAACATTTTTTCTATAAAAAAAAATATAGATATCAAAAAAAAAATGTGCCAATATATATACAATTTATTTTTATTATACTAAAAATTACTTCTTCATTAGTTATTACTTTTTGCTTTTCTTATTAGTTAAAAGTATATAGATACCTTTAACTTTAAGATATACAGAAAGAGGGGTAAAGAAAAAAAAATTGCCTGTTATTCACAGTTTTTGAATAATGACAATTTGCTAAATTTCTTCTGCGTGCGATTCAATAAATTTTTTTTTTTATAAATCAAGTTATATTATAAAGTTAAAGATATCACGAGTAGACTATAACATCCACTGATGACACTAATATTATGTTAAATATATTTATATAATGGAGATTTCATTATGCACACACACATTATATAATCCTTTAAATTAATACTAAGGCACGTTTTAGTTTAATGTCTTTATTCTTTACTAATGACTATGTATTTTTCTATATAAAATAAGACAAACTATATAAAAACTTTTTTTTAAGTTTGCACGATTATATTGTGTATAAGTATTAAGTTTTTTGTTTTGAGAATGATTAACAAAAGAGTTTGTATAATTAAAACTTTTATATAATTTAATTTTTTTTTTGTTTAATAAAATTAAATAATAATAATAAGTTTTTTTTTTTTTTTTTTTTTTTTAATTTTACTTCACCTCCTCAAGGCCGAGAAGGCCACTACAGACGAGGAGGCTACTTATTTTGTGGCTATAACCCTCTCTCAACTCTATAACTCCGAAACACGAACCTTGACGAATAAGGCCGCTGGGCGGAGAAACAAGTTGAGTGCGGTACTACCAGGGACGTGGGGATCGAACTCGGAACCACTCGTTTATGAAGCGAGCACTCTACCACTACACCACTACCGCAAGTTAAAAATTTAATTGTTAAAAACAATTTGTCTCTATAACTCTGTGTTTCTTTGTGATTTGTTTAAATGTAAAACATTTATACAATAACGTAAAACATTTATTCATTAAATTCCTGGCAAATGTGTTCAACTATATATCAAAAATATGCTCAAAACAGACATTCAACTTTTTTATATTTATATAACGCTAATTGAAAACGCTAAGCAACATAAATTAAAAAAATTATACTTAACAACCTAAATTATTCTATGCTAGTCAAAATAAAATCTTTGTTCAACTAATTAACAAAGATTTTTGTTTATCAATATGTTAATATTCTTTGTTTACTGCCGAAATTCTTAAAAATAAAAAATCATTTTTTTAATTCTATAACACAATTAATAATTAAAGAAATAATGAAATATATATATATTTTTTTTACTAAATAATATTTAACTAAAATTAATATTAAAGCAACAATTGAAAACATAACAAACTTTTTATAATATATTTACAACATTTATACATTGTTTTAGTTACTTGAGTTAATTGTTAAATTAAACTAGTTTGCGGTAAGTTATTTATTGCGGTAGTTAAAGGACTTAACGTCTATAACAAAAAAAATTAAGATAATTTTATGACATCAAATATCACATTAGGCACTTTTTATTTAAAACAAGGCCTGCACTTAATACATTATATTGTTATATTTTATTTGGAGAGTTATTGAGTTATTGAAATAAAAAAAATTATAAAAATAAAAAAAACTTAAATATTATAAAAATAACATTTTTATAAATAACATCTATGAATAACTTTTTTTTAAAAGTTTTTTTTTAATTTTATAGAAAAACTTGTTCTAAATTCATGAATAACTTGAATTTTTTTTTTTTTTTTTTTGTTAATTAAGTTTGATTGGTTTTATCACATATATCACAAACTGTGAAGAAATTCTTATTTTTAAGGTTTAAAAAAAGTTGCTAGAAAAAAACAAAAAAGTCAAAAACATCAACGTGGAAAAAAACGCTCTTCAAAACATATTAATGATTTTGAATTTGATAGTAGTTCATTTACTGATTGCACAGATGAAGAGGTTTTAAAAGATTATATTGAGAATCTTACAGCTAATTGCAGTGATTCAGATGCTGAAAATTCTTTATTTAAAAAATCTGCTTTTTTGGCAAAGCGAGATCTTGCATCAATTCAGCATTTCTGTATACCTTTCCATGGCAACAAAACTGAATCTTATAATGACAGCATGTGTTTTCCGCCATCTCGCAAAAAGAGAAAAAAATATAAGCGTCATTACATAGATGGTACTTACAAGTTATTAAATGGACAGATGACACGTAAACAAAGAGATAAGATACATAATGTTATATCCAATCAATATAAAAGGTACAACAGTGTTTTTGGATGTCTATTTTATTTATTGTTATTTATTCTTTTATAATTTTATAAGGTTTATTGTTTGTTATACTTTAACTATATATTATTGTTTTATACTGTTTACTTATATTTATACTTTTATTACTGTACATTGTTATATTTTATACTTTTATACTGTTGTATTTTATACTTGTTCTATTTTATATCTGTGCCAACCTATTGCGCAACCCTAAAATATTGTTTTTTAAAACCAGCAGAACTTAAAATTGTAAATAATTCATTATAATAAATCATTTATTTAATTCAAAAGATCAATACATAGCATTGATATTTGAAAATGGTTTTAGGCATATGGACACTACAGCTATTCTTTACAAAGTGCATTCTTGGCATGTTGCACTGCTGGCCATAGGCCTTGTTTCAAATAAAAAATGCTTAACACAATAGCCTAATGTGAATTTGACGTCATAAAATTCTCTTTATATTTTCTTATTTTTTTAAGACATGAACTTTTTTAAATTACTGCGATTATATTAATTACTGCAAAACAAGTTAAATGTTATTTAACTTATTTTTTATTATTATTATAAAGAAATGTTTTTTTTTTTTTAATTGTTTTTTTTTTTTAATATTAAATAATTAAATTAATATTACATTTTTAAAAATTTTAAATAGTAACAAATTTCTTTCTTTTCTTGACATTTGCATAAATGAATTCAAATATGTTAAATTTTTAAATTTTTAAAATAATTATTCCTTAAATTTCTAATCACGGCTTTGCAACTACAAATGATTTTTTATTTAAAAAAAATTAGAGTAGCAAATAAAAAAATTACGTTACTTTGTTTACTTTATTTATTAAAAGTTTTTTATTTTATGAATAATTTTGTTGTGAAAGTAAAGATTATTTTTCCAAACATCATTTATCAATATTATATTGCTGTATCAGGGATGCAGAGTCCCAAAAAGGACTACGGATTTGCAAGTTACAAAAAGATTACTTCTTTCAGGTTTTTGGTATCCAGGAGCTTTAAAATTATAAAAAAGTTATTGACTACTAATGGGGAAAAAATCAAGACTTATAGGTTAGAAGAACAATCGATTTTTGAACCTAGAGTTCTTAGGTATAGTGGTGGTGAGGATTCCCAGACTCCAGGACTCCAGGTTTAAAAACAATGTTCCAAGTCATTAAATATAACTTTTTTTCTTATAGCAGATCATTAATCAACCAACATGTTAAGAGTTTCTGGACACCAGAGACCATAAAAAAAATAAAGTTATAAAGCCAGAGTCCTTTTGGGACTCCGCATTTCTGCACTGTATATATTATTTATGACAAAACAATCACTGTTTAACTTGCGTTATAAAAAAAAACTTTTATTTTGTGCAAATTTCTGATGCAGCCGTTTATTTAAAATTTAATTTTGAGTAAAAAAAAAATGTTTAGTAAAGAAAGCCAAAAAAACAATTGCGATAAAAATTCGATGATTAATTTTTTAAGAACAAATAAAATTATATATAGTAATATTTTTAAATAAATTTGACAATTAAGTTAAACTCAAGCATTATTTTAAGCAATTTTTAAAACTTAAATATATTTTTTGAATTATTTTGTTAAATATAATTTTTAAATCTAAATTAAATTATATATTCTTTTATCAGAATAAAATTATATATTTTTATTAAATTAGTTTTTAAGTAAATCATATATTTTTTATCTGAATTAAATTATATTATTATGACATTTGCTTCAAGCTTAAAGCAAATAACATTACAATAAAATAAAATCAAAATAAGAATAAATTTTTAATTTTATTTGAGTGTTTTTATAAGTAAATAAGGCTTATATCTATCATAATTGTCATTCTTTGTAACAAATATTTTTACATAAACATCATTTAAAAGCTAATGTGCTTTATTTTAAATTAGTTATATCTTTTATTTTACCACTAGTATAATTTAAAAGTTGAAAAATGATAGAAAGTTGCTTAACTGAAATTGCTTACATAAAATTGCGTAATGCTTGGGACCTGTGACCATGTCACAAATAACATAAACAATGCTGGCCTCTAAAGCGGTAATTGTTCCTGGTTTGTCAGCTTAAACCAGTGAGTTCATATAACCTCACAATAAGTAATATAGAGGTGTCAAATGGAACATTGTTTGAGGCTGGTTAATAGGTCTATTTTTCAAAATCAACTTATCACCAAATTTTAATTTAATAAGCCTATAATATATAAGTATTATATATTATAAACTTATTAAACTAAAATATAAGTCTATAGTAGCTCCCATTTTTATAAAACCACATCTGATCTTAAACAATGTCATCCATATTTTCCAACAAAAAAACATTGATCATGGTGTGGTAATGATTTCCATTGATCATTTTGTAAGCTCTGGTCTCATTTTTGAGGAAATAAGGTCTGATGATATCACCAGCACTGCACCAAACAATGCATTTAGATTGGTCTCACTCCATATGCTGGAATTTTGCTTATTAACAAACCTGTAAAGCCAAAAATAATTTGGCTTTACAGGTTTACAATGCATCAGTTACCAATTGCTATAGAGCCCAATCGACAAAAAAGTGATGCATATACAGTCTTCTCCGTTTAAAATTTGATGCTAGCACTCAAAAGCGTTAACAGGATGAACATTTTTAAGCGTTAACTGGATGAACATTTTTAAGCCTGCGCAATTTAAAAAATTCGTTTTTTTCTGCAATTTAAATTAAAATTAAAATAGCAGAAAGAATGCTTTAAATAAATACTAGATAAAATAGTTTTTAAAAAAACTTGAATTTTTTTATAAAAGTTAAACAAATATACAAAAATGTTTTGTTGTAATTTAAAACTAAACAAAAAGCGCCTTATAAAAGGCTTGGTAAGCCTTTTATTATGCGCTTGCCAAATTTTTTGTGGCTTTGTGGGTAAGCACAAAAAGACTTAAGAGCGAAAGTGCTGGCTAAATTTAGAAATCAATCAATCAATCATTTATTTCTGAATTAAGGTTTTACATTTAAGGATGTTTACAAAATAGTAAATATACTAATATAAAGTAAACACCTACTAATGTTAATGATATCTAGTTAAAATAAATACAATGCTAATTTTCATAATATATAATAACGATAATAAACTTTATAACATAAAATAACGATGTAATGTAAATAACGATGTTATAACAATAATAACAATAATAACAATAATAACAATAATAATAATAACAATAATAACAACAATATTAGTATTAGTAATAAAAAAAGTTAAAAGTAGTTATGAATAGTAAATATTAGTAAAAATAACAAAATTATAAAAGAAAACTGCATATAATGGTATCAAAGCTTTCTATACCAGCTGGATCTTATATGAGTGTAGGCTGAGATTTTTGCGCTTTTCCAAATTATGGACAGACAGCTTTAACACTTGAATGATAATTATGTTTGATATAAGCGTTGTTTAAATAATAAATTTAAATAAATAAAGTAAATAAATTAACCTATTATTTTTATTTGTTACTCTCTAATTTTTTTTTAAATAAAAACCATTTGCAGTTGCAAAGCCGCAATTAGAAATTTAAGAAATAATCATTATAAAAACTTAAACATTTAACATATTTTATATTCATTTATGCAAATGTCAATTTTATTTAATAGGACATCGCAGTAAACAATATATTTTACGTACCTTGTATATTTGATATATATCATTTTATATATTTATTTTTAATTTTGTTGAGTGTTTTTTTTTTAAATATGTTTTGAAAGTTCAGATACAGAGCTTTTTTATTATTCTAGAACTTCAAGTTGTGCATTTAATGGAAGTTGTCGCAAAAAATATGAATTAGAAGAATATTCACATGAAGAAGAAATGGATTTGGAATCAGATAAAAGGTTAATAATATATTATTCTATTTGACTTATCCTTGAAAAAACCCCACCTCTGAATGAGACCATATGAACATTAAATAATTAAATAATCAGACCATATGACACACGTTTCCTCCAAAGGCTCTCGGCTCGAAAAGCTCCTCTAAATAAATATATATATATATATATATATATATATATATATATATATATATATATATATATATATGTGTATATATATATATCAGGCCTTGCGATAAAGCGTCGGGCTATGTGAATTTTATGTCGTCCAAGAGCGATTTTGCGTGTAGCTAGGGCTATTTGCGTCGAGCAAAAAAATTTTTGTTTGGGTATATTTAAAAATATTTTTGAGCGGAATTTTAAGTAATTTACGATTATTTCAACATTTGATAAAGTATTTTAAAAACCGCTCGCAGTTGATATAAAAGTTTGAATTACAAAAAAATTAAATATGTTCCTTATTTACAAGTAGAAAAAATTCAGATTAAAAAAAAGTTTAAATCTTTTTAAGCTAACATTTTAATAAAATTATTCAGCAATAGCAAAGTTGTTGATAAAATCGAACAAAAATACTTTTAGTTTTAGATTTTTAACTTAAATAATTATTTTACGGGGGTTTATTAGGTTTTAAAATTATTCCATAGATTTAAAAATATTTAACTGTTAGATGTATTTAAAGTATTTAAGAGTAATTTCGAGGAAATATTTTAAAAATTGGTAATGCAAATAAAAATCTAAAAGGATTAATATTAAAACGTATTCTACTTGATTCAATAAAAAAGTACAGCTATTGCAATTTTTGTAAAAAGTAAAGATTATTTTTCCAAACATCGTTTGATCAATATTATATTGCTGTATCGGAGATGCAGAGTTCCAAAAAGGACTACGGATTTGCAAGTTACAAAAAGATTACTTCTTTCAGGTTTTTGGTATCCAGGAGCTTTAAAATTATAAAAAAGTTATTGACTACTAATGGGGAAAAAATCAAGACTTATAGGTTAGAAGAACAATCTTTTTTTGATTCATGCTAAAACTCTGTCATCTAAAAAGGCCATCTCAAACAGATTTTCAGAGAGAAATTAAAGGTGCCTTGAAAATGCTTGATGTGTGTTGATGGCAACAGTCTTGTTGAGATAGGTCTTGAGATGTGACAAAAATTTGATGTCATTGAGAGGGACTTGAGAGCTTGGATTCCAAGTAGTGCTTTATTCCACTGTTTAACATAAGCAAGACTGACAAGCAGAGTCAAATCTGTGATATTCTTGAATTCACGAGCAGTTAACTTGTAACTAGTTCTTAAATAAATAAAATAAAATAAAATAAAACTGGTTCTTAAAAAGAAAGCAATCACGCATGATTTGTTGCACCGGGACCTCAAAATTTCTCGCTGCCTTAGTATCTATTGAGAAACCAGAGGGATAAAAATAAAGATTCCTGATAATCATCTCTTGGTTGCTGTGTTCTTCAATATTGGATCATAAATCACTTCATTGGTTCCTGTGCAATAAGCATCTTGGTTCATTGATGACCATTGTTTCTGAAATTGCTTGAATAGTGCAGTTGATGAACCTTCAGTTGGAGCAAACAGAGACATAAAAACATTTGAAAGGACAACTTCTATGACAGGATGACAGCATGCAATCCAGACAATTTCATTTCCCAGAACTTGTTCAATTCTAAAACATGCACCATTATGAAGTGAATTGAACCATTATGAACCTGCATTGGTAGCTGTTGTGTGGAATACAACGCATTTGATCTGTGAACACAGAATCCATTTCTCAATTACTTCAATACAGGCTTTTGCTTGCTCCTGTTCCTCTATCCATTTTTGGAAAAACCAACAGTTATTCCTGGTCATTCCCAGTAGCAGCTTTGCAATCTACATTTCCCTTGATCAATCAATATCGGGCAATATTTCAACCCATTGAAACAATAGTGATCCTGTCAAAAAAAATTCTTTTTAATCCATTGCAGCAACCCCTTATCTTTCTTTTATTCTGGATCGTCTGATTGAGCTTCTTTTTTTTTTATTTATTTTAATTCACCTCCTCAAGGCCGAGAAGGCCACTACAGACGAGGAGGCTACTTATTTGTGGCTATAACCCTCTCTCAACTCTATAACTCCGAAACACAAACCTTGACGAACAAGGCCGCTGTGCGGAGAAACGAGTTGAGCGCGGTACTACCAGGGACGTGGTGGGGATTGGTTCTATTATGTTGTTTCTAAAATGTAAATATCTTATTTTTTGTTCTGTATTTCTGTCATCCATCCTTTGTAGCAATGTCAAACAATTCTTCAATGTCATGTTTAATCATATCTTCTTTCATTGTGTCACTTTCGAACTGTTCTGTTCTGTGTACTTTTAAAGCCAGATTTCCAGTAACTTCCAACTCAATTTGTGGTTGCTTGCAGCCTTTTTGGAAGCGAAGATGTTAAAAATAAAAAAAAAAAAAAGAAAGTTTAGATATAGTTTTCTGACTCATGAGTCAACCCGCTGTGTTAGTAATCTGCCTCGCATACTAATACAAATAACTGTACCAAGTGAGGGTTTGTCCTTCAAAAATACTGTACAAAGTGAGGGTTTGTCCTTCACTTAAATGATGAAACTAGACCAGTTAAAGTAGATCTAGCATATGTGGTTATCTTGCTATAAATAACTGAGAACTTGGCTTTCCAAATAGCCAGTGCTCAAGACCGGATCTCAAACTGGATGATGCCATTTTATAGTTTAGTTTATAGTTTATTAGTGGAACAGTTTAATAGTTCAATTTTAGTTTAATGTCAGTTCAATATTAATTCAAAAACAGTAACACCTGTAAAATAGAAAAATAACTTGCACATTAGAATTCAGCACACACTAAAATTAATTTAAAATATGTCCTGTCAAAGTCAGTTGTAAATCACAAACGCGGACACCAGACAAGTAATGTTGACATGTAAGTATTGCTCAATCAGCCTGAAATTTTGCAAGCTAAATACCTATATCCAATAGACAAAAATAAGTGAAGCAATCTACAAACTTAACTTTAACTCCTTTATAAAAATTTATATAAAATCTTATAAAGGTTTTTAAAGGATATGCACTAAAGTTTTTAAATCACATAAATACATCATATAACAAATCCAAAATAAAAAATATTTATGAAATATTTTAAGTCACTTAAAATATTATATATAAATTTATCTGTTGGAGCACAGCTTCTGTTATAAAGGTAGTTTCCAAATTCAGTATTTTATTGATTGTAGAAACTATCACCATAACAGAATGATTATTATCATCTTGGGATGGTATTAATTTATAGGCAGTCTGTCCATTAAAAAAAAAAAACTTTAAAAAAAAAGTTTTAAAACAGTAAAAAAAAATATAAAAAAATACATAAACAACATTTTATTGGAAAAATTAAAAATGGTCAAGCAAGAGTGTATATATATATATATATATATATATATATATATATATAATATATATATATATATATATATATATATATATATATATATATATATATATATATATATATATATAGAGTGTATATATATATATATATTATATATATATATATATATATATATATATATATATATATATATATATATATATATATATATATATATATATATATATAGAGTGTATATATATATATATATGCGGTAGAGTGTATATATATATATATATAATATGCGGTAGTGGTGTAGTGGTAGAGCGCTCGCTTCATAAACGAGTGGTTCCGAGTTCAATCCCCACCACGTCCCTGGTAGTACCGCGCTCAACTCGTTTCTCCGCGCAGCGGCCTTGCTTGTCAAGGTTCGTGTTTCGGAGTTATAGAGTTGAGAGAGGGTTATAACCACAAATAAGTAGCCTCCTCGTCTGTAGTGGCCTTCTCGGCCTTGAGGAGGTGAATTAAAATAAAAAAATATATATATATATATATATATATATATATATAACATATAGGCATGATATGAGTATGTATAACATACATACTCATATCATGCCTTGTGATTAGTGATTTCGCCGGTTATCCGTTTCAAAAACCGGATAACAGTTCTCATCAATTTGCGGTTAACCGACTATTCGGTAAATTAGTGACGCTTTCTCAATACAGGATCTTCTAAATTTCAACGTACTTAGCGTTTTAAACTAATTTTTTAAAAACTAATGTTAAAGTGTACATTTTCAAGACAGTTAGTGAATACAGTCCTATATTATATATTTATAACAAAATATGGAAAAAAATATATATATATTTTTTATATTAATATAATATACCTTTTTAATTATATAATTAAAAAAGGTAGGAATAATGTACAAATGTTTTAAGATCAGCGGATGTTTTAAATGTTTTAATATCAGCGATGTTTTAAATGTTTTAATATCATGATGTTTTAAATGTTTTAATATCAGTTTAAATGTTTTATTATCAGCAGGTGTTTTAAAAACATTCTCTCATATAAAAACATTTGATTTGGAAAAATGAGATGTTATGAAGTAAATTTTTTTAGCGTGTATTTTAAAACTTATTATTATGCAGACATAGATGGAAACATAGATAAACTTGAATGTTCTCAAAACAACTTGTTGCGTAAAGATAATATAAAGAATATTTGCTAACACTAAAATACTGCCAAATCTACGAATAAACAAATTCTATTGGTTCAAAAAATACTCTGAATAAGCGAATTAGAGTTCCAGAATATTCTGAAGAAACTTCCTAAAAAATATATTGCTAGAGTTGTAAAAGTAATAAACAAATCTTTGAGATTTCTATTGTAATTTGTAAATCTTTGAGATTTACAAATTACAATAGAAATCTGTACTCTGAATAAGCGAATTAGAGTTCCAGAATATTCTGAAGAAACTTCCTAAAAAATATATTGCTAGAGTTGTAAAAGTAATAAACAAATCTTTGAGATTTCTATTGTAATTTGTAAATCTTTGAGATTTGTATTGTAAATTGTTTTACGAATATATTATCAAACAAAACTGATTAAATTAACA